GGCGCGGTCGCCCACACCCCCGACCCGAGGCCCCCTCAGCGCCAACCCGGGCTCAGATAGGCCCCAGGGTGACGAAAACTTCCCGACCCCAATACCTGGGTCTGGGGGACCCGAAGAAATCCCACTGGCCCCTCCCTTCCGAGACCTGGAGACGCAGCCCTGAGGGTCCCCTACTCCCGATCCCCAGCCTCCCTGGAGACCCAGATAACGCGCTGCTGACCTTACCAGGGACCCGGGTCTGGGGGACGCAGATAAGCTGCACCTGCTCCCTCCCCTCAGACACGCCTACCCGGACCCACATAACCCCCTTCCCTGCTCCTAATAGTCCGCTTCTTCCCCTCTGTTTCATTTTCTAGAACCACATAACCTCTTTTGAGACTTCCTCCAAATATTTGGTTCTAGGGAACACAAGTGAGCCCTACCCGTAGTACCCTCCTCGGCGATTTTACTCCCAAACCCTAGACAGCTTCCACCCAGTACCATTTTGAGACTCTGAAATTCAGGGAATTAGTTTCTGACTCTTCAGCCCCTGGAATCCTCCAACTCTTGTAATCTTCCCCCCACATCTTTGCCAGGGGATCTCTAAGAGACCCAGATAACTTGATTGCTCCTCCCTCCCTCCTATCCCTGAGACCTCCTCCAGACTTCTTGAATTTCTGTCCCTGGTCTGGCAGCCATCCACCCCCAGCCTTCCCAGCCCCAGGGGCACTTAACCTTTCCCCCTACGCGAGGCGGTGGTCTAGAAACTGCCCAGGAGCTAGGCTGCTCCCTGCAAATCCTATCCCAGGCTATGCCCCCAAGTTGTTGGGGGAAAGAGACCTGTAAAGTGCAGGATAGGGAGACCTCGGGTATGGGAATTTGTTGGTGCCTTCACCTACAAGTGTATCTGTCTCCTGGCTTGTGTATGTTTCCCCACCTGTCTGCCTGGGACTCTGAAAGTGTCAGGCCTTGGGTTTCTAACCCTACCACCCAGGGTGAGGCCACCAGATTGGGGTTGGGGGTCTAACCAGGTTTCCTCTTCGTGAAAATGGGCCTATAGTGAGTTGCAGCCATTTGCTCAAGGCCTCCTCAGGAGTGGGAGGCGGCGGGAACCAGAGGAAATAGTGCATCAAAGGGACTCCAAAGAGGGCCCATCTACGCTGACAGAGGAACTAGCAGCCTGAGAGTAAATCCAACCCCTGTTAATCCTGTTTGATGTCTCTTGGAATGATGCAAGTCATTGAGACTCTCCAGCTTCCCTGTAATTTAATTCTCCCACCACTCGGGAGTGTGTGAGAGAGTGAGGGGGGCAGCTATTCCTATTCCCCCCTTTCCTTCTGCTTTCCAGCCAGTCAGTGTGTCTTTTGGATTTGTTTTTGGTGCCCAGGTCAGGACCTTTTTTTTTTTTTTAATCTCTAAGTCTATTTATAATTTCCCAGTTACTATTTTGGGTTCTGCTTAGGAGTAGATTCTGTCCACTCCAAGGAAAGTTCCTGGGTGTGTTTCCTCCTCGGCAGGTGTTGAATTGAGTTCTTCAGATCCCCAAGTAGCTCTTGGGCAGGAGGGATAAAAGCTATTTTAGGGTAGTCACTGAAGTGGAGCTGTTAATCCTCTGTGGGTCTCTCTAGTTAAGAACACTTAGAGATTAACCCTTTCCTGGCTGCAGGGGGGCTATTTCTCAAGTTTTGGGGGGAGGTTTGGGAGAATTCAACTGTGGCAGCAGAAGGTGGGAACATGCAACTCAACACAAAGGCAAAGATAATAGGTGCCTTTTGTTGGGTACTTAGAGCAAGCCAAGCCCTGTGCTGAGCGCTTTGCATACCTGACTAGAATAATCCTTATAACAAGCCTGTGAGGTAAGTATTTTTAGTTTTACAGATGAGGAAACAGGCTAATAATGGAGAAAGAACGCAGTTTCTATAGAGATGATGTAACACCATAAAAACTATAGTTTCATCAGAGGCATCGTGGCACACAGCAGAAGACAGACAGACGGGGGAGCAATTTGTCTCCTTTCAGCTTCCAAAGAGAGCCATACAGAGTTTTTAGTACGCATTTGTATTGGGGGTATGGAGCCTTAATAAAAAAAAGAGACTCCTAAAGTAAGAGAACACTGGCCCAGGATATGGTTGGTGCTGGAGGAAGCTAAAGTAGGGGGACTGGCTGGGGGGATTTGCTGAGGGTTAATTGTGAGGGAAAAGGAGAAGGCTGCATTCTGGGGAGATGTTGAGAAGGGAAGGAAACTCTGAAGCTTGAGAAGTAACATTAAGGGAAAGAAAAAAAAGTATTACTCAGGCCCTTTGCAGAGAACAGACACAATTTAGATCTCAGAGACAGCACTGCTTGTATTCACACATTTTGTCGGATATTTCAAAAATATTGCTTCACTGAATCTTCCATGAGAATTTTACAGGTAAGAGAAATAAATCTCTATTTTAGAAATTGAGGAAACCAAGGTTCAGAGAAACAAAGTAACCTGCCCGTGGTTTCTCAGACAGTAAGTGGCAGCTCTTTCTGTTAGCAAGTCCAAGGTTCTTTCCACAATACCTCCCTCTTCAGATCAGGTGCCAGAAGGAATCTTAGGATGAAAATATAGCAAGTTATACCAGTAACTGGGAGGAATTGATTGTGTTTGTTTTATGGGAACAGGTTCTGTCAGCTTCTAGAGTTGTTAAGGTTAGAATGTGAGACCAGAAGAGCAGCTTTGAAAGAGAAGCAGAATTCTTTCAGTTTTGCCAAAGAAAAAGTCTGAAGGAATAGGCCTTGGAATAATGTGGGAGAGGCCCTGGTATCTTCCTGGATAAGAGGAGTTTGCAGACAAAGGACAGAGGGAGAGAAACTAGATTCCCAAAAGGGTCCCTAAGGTAGCACCACAGCCACAGCCCCATTAAATGCAGATCAAGGCAAGCACATGGCTGCTGCTTTCCTCCTTTGGTTCTATCAGCACAGCCTCATGAGCCCTTCTTAGCCACCACCAGCCTCTTTCCTAGAAGCCCATTACTCACTCTTTCAGTAGCAGCATACTAAACTGCTGTGTCTTGTTTGTGCTTGTTCAGGAGAATAGATGAGGTGGATGTGTGGGAGGTGGGGGATGTACTGCTCTCTTTCTGAGTTTGTGTGGAGTTTCCAGGGCTAGGCTCCCCTAGCACACCAGCCAGATTGATGCAACTTGCTTCCCTCTGGCTGCCATTCCCAACTTCCCAGAGCCTGAGGTGCATGATTTCAGATACCAAGGGGGAACAGAATTTGACTTTGAAGGTAGGGGAAATTCCCTCCAAACTAGATGTTCAAATTCATGCTCGCTCTCAACCCAATTCCAAGCTGCCTGGTAATCACTGGTATTATAAACAGGTAATTCCACCCTTTCGAAGAAGGAGGGGACTTAAACAATGAAAGCCAGACGTCAGAGGCCTTTGAGGTTTATCATGCAGCAGGCAACTATGCCATGATGACTCGAAGACTCAAGTGGAACTAGTTTTTAGTGCTAGCACGTGACTCGTGCAAAATGCAGCCACCTTTGTGCAGCTCTTTCTAGGCAAATCTCCATTTGTGATGGGGAAATGTTTATCATATTGCATTGCAGTGTTTCTTCAACAAGAGGAATGGTTCCTGAACAGGACATAGCTCATGTTGATGATGAGCAAAGCTCTCTCGGGCGTGAACCCGCTGATTCCATCATCTCGTTCAGGGCCAGCCTGTTGGTTGAATGGTCACTGTAAGCAGCAGGTGCTAATGAGCTGAGCAAGCATTCTTTGGCCCACAGCTAGTTTGTGTGGTTGGAGCCCTCCCTAGATTCTCGTGGACAATCCCTAGATACCCGCTTTGCTCCCTTTACATGGAAAAGCCTCATGACCAAATTTTGGCATGACCTCTTCAAAGGAAATCCCCCTGTTGTAGCAAGTTGCATTGCGGTTGGTAATCTGTGATGTTCTTCTGAGTGTGAACATGGGTCTGTTGTCCCCCTTTTGAGAATCATGGTAACTAACGCCCATCCTCTCTTCCTCTGAATTGATGTCAGGCAAGAAGTTGTATCACCTTTGCTCCATCCACCCTCCCTCTCCCAACCCAAGAGAAAGGATCAGACTTCAAGATATTGGCTCCCTACTTTGGAACCCAGTTTAAACCAGAACTTCCTGAGCATGTTAGCCTATGAGAAACAACCTGCATTTAATGACTAATTTACACATCTAAAAGAAAGTTGAAAGTCCTTTTCTAAATGTTAGGTGTATGGAGATGAAAGAGATATGATATGAACTCTCAAAGAATCAGAGTTTGGTGGTGGAGCCTATGTTCTAACGCAAGTGTGTTACTTGCTCATCATGGAGAGATGAAGTATGAGGGTCTGTAGGAGGGGCCACTCAACACCTTAGGTGCTGGATGGGCTTTCGTTAGAGAAGTGTGGCCTGAGCCCTGAGCCCAAGAGACCCAGAGTGGTGGTGGAGGGCAGGGTGGGACCAGTACTGGTTTAGTAGAAATGCTGAGTCTGCGGTTGCCTTCTCAGACAGAACCTCTTGTTGCTGATGCACTGCTAAGAAACACATCTGGCGCAGGGGCTGACTTTGCAGGGGTGTCAATTTCCTAAGAAAAGGCTGCTTCTCCCTTCTCTTCTGTTTCCTTTTGGGCATTTTATTGCTCCTTAACACTTCTATGAGGAGAAGGTAGGGTAAACAAGAGGAGGAGGAGGTGCTGCTATCTCTAAATTTAGTAGAAATGATGTAAAAGTAAAGTTAGAAGGTAAAGTTTGGAGTTTAGGGCTTTTATTTCCTCTGATTAGCCTGTTTCCTATACTAGGTGCCCAGCCTTCTCCTGAATGCTCTATACTTATTATCTCATGTAATCCTCAAAACATCCTTA